TGGCTCCCTCGTCCTGCCGGCTCCCAGCCCTGCCCCACACACCCACCTTGGCCATTTTGCTGTCAGCCTGCAGCTTCTCCATCACCTCTGAGTTGGCCTTGAGGAAGTCCTTGAGCACAGGGCTGTCATCCTGCCGCATGAACTCCTTGCGGGTCAGCTCCATGCCCTGCTGCAGGCTCCGCACGTCCTGTAGCACGCTGTCCAGGGAGACTGCAGGGAGGGTGAGCAGCGCCCGGCGCTGGCATCAGGGCAGCACACATGCCCCCAGTGGCCCTGTCCGAGCCGCTGCTGCCCGGGCTGCAGCCTGCCACAGCCCTGAACCTGCCTGCGTGCGCTACCTGTGCCCGCCTTGTCCAGGAAATGCAGCTCAGTGTGAAAGCCGGTCAGCTCCGGGTACTTCTCCGTGATCACTCGCACCAAGTAATGTAGCAGCGTTTGCTTCCGGTCCGTTGACTTCATCTCCAGCAGCTGGGAGTGAGCGACATCAGGCCAGAGCTGCCCCCGTCCCTCTTCCCACCTCCCCAGTTCCCCCTGCCCCGTGGTCTAGGCAGACCCTTGCATCCCTCTATCCCTGTAGATGGGCCTCCATCCCACTGCCACCACGGCTGGTCCCTGCACCCCTCCATCCCCACAGCTGGTCCCTAGTCTCTCCATCTCTTTAGCTGGTCATCAGGTCCCTCCATCCCTTCAGCTGGTCCCCACATCCCTCCATCCCCAAGACTGGTCCCCATGTCCTTCCATTCCTATAGCTAGTCCCCGCGTCCCTCCATCCCCAGGCTGCTCCCCACATCCATCTGTCCTCACAGCTCATCCCTGTGTCCCTCCGTCCCCATAGCTGGTCCTCATGTCCCTCCATCCTCATAGCTCATCCCCATGTCCCTCCATCCCTGTAGCTGGTCCCTATGCACCTCCATCCCCATAGCTGGTCCCTCTGTCCCTCTGTCCCCATGGCTGGTCCCCACATCTCTCTGTCCCCACAGCTGGTCCCTGCATCCCCACAGCTGGTCCCCATGCAGTGACCGGCCTCTGTGCCATCTCATCCCCCAGCACAGCAGGGCCCACAGGGAGCCCTGCCGGCAGCCCCCCACCGAGCTCACCGCGTCGAGGCTCTGCAGCCGGAAGCCATAGGCCGCCCCACGCTTGCTGCTGTTCATGTAGTTCCCGAAGGCCAAGACGATCTGCGGAGATGCATGGACTCAGGCAGCGCCGGGACCTGCCAGGGGGCCGAACCCCACTGCCGAGGGAGTACCTCTGCCTCAGCCCCAGCCCCAGGCAGGGAGTGTGCTGCTCCCAGTGAGATGGAGGGGGCCACCCCAGGGGTGCATAGTGCCTGGGACAGTACAGGCCAGCATTGCCTCCACCCTGGCAGCACTCTACTCATGCCAGTGCACCCGGACGCTCCCTGCCAGGGTTGCCACCCACACCTCTCACCTCGAGGATGTTGCGCAGCTTGGTGGAGGACTTGAGGGACATGGAAGCGGCAATGATGGCATTGAGTTGCTGTGGGTGGCAGAGGAAGTATGTGAGGCTCTGCAAGACGCTGTGTCCTCTCAGCCCACTGCAACCACCCCCACGAGCCCAGCGCTGCCCACAGGCTCTTCCAAACTAGGGTGTCCACGTCACTGCCTTCCCCACCCCAGCCCTGCGCTGCCCGACACCCGTGAGCCTGGTCCTACCGGCATGAGCAGCTGGGCCGTGTCGCCAAAGTTGCCGAGGAAGATCATGACGTTCATGCGCTCGGCCAGGCGCGGGATCTTGCTGAACCTGATCATGAACTGGTCCTCATCTGAGAGCTCCTCCGGTGGCTGCTGGTCCCGTTCATACTTGGAGATGAGTGTCCGCTCATACTCAGTGGGCAGGAAGCGCAGCAGCAGCTCCAGGAAGTCGAGGCTCAGGGCTTGCTGGTCATACCTGGCAGGAGGCAGTGGGCAGTAGGAGACCCCTTCTGCGCCCCCACCACCTCCTTCCAGGCTCTGCCCATCACCTGATGTAGAGGCCCAAAGTCCTTCCCATACTCCCTCTTCTGCGTGTGTGGGGGGGGGGGTCTGGATAGTGTTTTGGGGTTTGCAGCCCCATCTAACCTGCTTCATCCTCCATCCCTGTGCTTGGCCCAGCCCCAATGGCTAGAGGACACTCACGTCTCAATGGCTGTGCAGATGTCCTGGATGCTGCGGCCACCCTTGCGGAGGGTGATAGCCAGATTCTTGGCCCGGTTGGACTCGATGAGGGTCACCTTCTTTGAGGCCTTCTGCGTGGCCTTCACTTTGAGGGCATTGAGATCCAGGCCGGGGCCCTGGGCCTTGGTTTTGAACTGCTCCTCAAAGTCGCTCATGTCCAGCTCCTGTGGGGAGATGGGGCTGAGGGCATGGCGCAGAGGGGCTGCAGGAGCTGGGATGGAGGGAACACAAGATGGATGGGATGAGGACAGGGTGAGGGGACAAGGACGGGGCAAGAGGATGAGGAGGGGGCCAGAGGACAAGGACAAGGCAAGAAGACATGGACAGGAGGAGGGGACGAGGATGGAACAAGAGATCAAGATGGAGCAAGGGGACAAGGATAGGGTGAGGGGACGAGAAACGGGGCAAGGGGACGAGGACAGGGCTCCCCATCTAGCAGATCCCATGTTGTCCCTCTCCAGGACACCAAAAAGCTGCTCCAAGACTCCTCCAGGGCTGGAGCTGTGTGAACCCACAACACCACAGATGGGTGTAATGCGGGCATGGGTGAGACGCGGTCACAGGTGCAAGGTGGCACAGGCGCCACTCCAGCCGAGGAGCCTGTGCCACCAGCCTTACCTGCAGCACCTTCTCGTCGTTGAGCTCAGTGAAGACAGTGCCATCGATCTGACTGGGTTTCAGCGCCACCCAGTTGAAGACGGGCATACGAAACTTGGTCTGGATTGGCTTCTTCATCTTCACTGCAGGTTGAGATGGGGGGGGGCAGTGTCACGGCAGGGTGGGA